ACTTCTTTTGGGTAGTCGAGAAGGAACCCAATAAAAGCTTTGTTGCTAAATTTTTTCGTCAATTAGTTTGAGACATGTTTTTCATCAGTAATTTTGAATAATTTATCGACTTAAATTCAAGTCACATTTTTTCTTAGTAGCAAAATAAATATTTTATTATTTTAAAGAGCACAAGGGTACTCCAACCTATATACATGGTGAAAATACATGTCCACTACAAACAAACCCAGCAGCCAAGAAAACTATAATCAAAACCAAAAAAACCAGCACACGAACCATTCCTACCGTTTATCCGTTCATGCCACCCCCTGTTTCTGCTTATGAAATGCCTTCAACAACCTTTCATGCCATCTGACTTCTATAGCAGCCTGCATTGGATTATTCTGCCATTCGGAAAAGGAGAAAACACACCCTTCATCTTAAGTTTAATCCAGAAAAAAGTCTTGACTTGCAGCATATCCACCACCCTTCATCTTAAGTAACGTTGATGAATGGATTACTGATACACCAACAAACATTTTATCACATATTTTAAGTTGGAAAGTCTTTTTATTAACCTAATTACCTTAATTTCTTATGTGATTTCTTGTTGGTGATACCATGCATTCTAGTAGTAAGGACTATCTACACCAATGACCTATTAATTTAGTGAAACAAACTCGATTTTTTTTAAATAACTTATTGAGTTCGAATCTTGTAAATGAAGACACAAGCGCTCAAAAAATTTCTTTTTCTGGGGTTTGATGCGACTCGATTGTGAATTAATCAAGATTTAATAAAATTACCGAATACCTAGAGGTTAATATAAAAAAAAAAAAAAGTAAGGACTATCTATAGTAATTAAATTACACCAAATAGAAGGTGTAAAAGGAAAAATATACCACATAATGGCAAATACTACTACAATGTCCATGTCCATTTTCTTTCTTGCTATAACAATGTCCATGTCATCTGCCTCTCAACCTCAATACGACTATTGACGATATGTATTACAATGGCAGCCTGGATTATGCATGATTTATTTCTGTGCGTATCCTTAATTAAACACCACTTAAATTAATAATATGTAATCATAATTGAAATAATAAATGAGTTTCGATCAATTTATACATTAATTTCTGGTTTTCTGCTGATATTTTGTCGGATTAAAAGCAATAATTATTGCTTTTATACACATGATGAGGAATAAAAGCAAACTTCTTTTTTTTTTTTTTTGGAACGACAAGGTTATTGATATTGGAGTACCAGGTTACTCAACTTTTACATCATCTCGTTGCTATCGCTATAAGCTAGACATACTAAGCACTCCTTTGCTGTTTCAACACTGGACTAGGCCTCAGACTGTCTGTCCTAATCTCAGTTATCATTATTCGATCCCTTTTTGCTGATTTCATGCACAAGATTGGCTCCCTCATCCATTCATAGAAGCTGAATGAATAGCCATCGTTTTTTTTCCCTTTAAGCCAATAAAAGGCTCTCAG